TTAGATGTTTTCTCTAAGGTTAAGGTCTTTGACATCATTTAGCTTTGATTTTTTTATTCATAAGAATTTTTGTGCTATAATGCTACTTTAAGAAATAATAAAAAAATCCATCTCAAATGAAGTCTAAGAGAAAGCATAATCACCTATTATAAAAATAAGAGTTGGACTTAAAATAGAGGCTATTAGCGGTATTATTAATTACTCTCTTCTTTTTTATTAGAGTTCAAATGAGTGGTTCTTTCTAACTCTATCGCCGCATATATTCTAGCTCGCAACAGCTCCAAATGAAACCTAAAGCTTCAATCTAAGTTTATTATGCTTTGCAACTTGTGGCTCCATTAAACCATTAATGTGAATCTTAAATTGGAGAAGGTAACAATCAAACTATCCTTGGTGATCAACAAGTTGACCAATTCAACTAGTTTTGTGTAAGGCCTGAGGCCATGTTCTAATACCATATTTTTAAATACAATGACAATATATCAAGTCTTTATCCCACTACTTGGGTCGGTAGCATAAATCATTTTTTTCTCCTCTATTGTATGATTTTAAGAGTCAAATTCTCATTTAAATCTAATAAAAAATGTGTTTTTTTTTTTTTTTGGTAAGATCCACCTAAGCAGGTTGGCTTAACCGCATGTGATTGGTAACAGAAAAATCCCACAAGCCGTTCCTGTCCCTTTCTGGAGAGATACCAACCGTCTCTCCTTTCAACGAACACATAAAGAATGTCAATTCTAATATTTTCTAATCAAGTCTTTTTCGGTTTGCCTCTATTTTTCTTAACATAGGCCAAATCTAATATATACACTCTCCTAACCAAGTCATCGAAAGGCCAACATTCTATATGACCAAACCATCTAAGGCAACTATCTCTAATCTTATATGCATCAAATTTTTAAATGAAAGAAAAATATTAAGTGCTTAAATGAATTATTAAGGATTTATAAGAACTCTTAAACTATTCAAACTTTGTGTAACTTCTATTCCTTTTCTTTCAAATTAAATAAATACTAGGCTTTTATTAGTGCGGGCAAGCCTATGTTTTAAAGTAAAGGTAGTCAAGAATTTCTAAAGTATCCTACCAAGGCAAAAGATGCTTATATGATTCCATCTAGATCGAGCAATGCCGCATTTCTTGGCTTTTTTTTTAACTTACAAAAAGGCCTATGCGTTAAAAGAAAAAAAAATTACATATCCTTAATAAAACAAAAGCTACCTAAAATAAATTGATTGACTAACATCTCTAATCTCAAGTCAAGGCATTCTAAGTTCTATCCTAAATTGTGCCTTATG